TCTCAAGACCCAAGTGGTTTTCTTGATGTTTTTGCTCAAAATACCATGTTGAAATGCAACTGAGTGTTTCTCAGAATTTACAAACTCAAAATAAAGCCAACACTTGGGAGATTTCAGCAGAAGTGTAAGTAAAACAGCTGCTGTGGTTTTAGAGATGTTAAGGATAGAGCATAATTTTATTTATTTATTTCACTCTCAGCTGAATAATTTTTGCATTAGATAGTATAACCCATTTAAAACCATAACGAAGAAGGCTAAAAATCCACTTGTGGACATTACCTGTGCAAAGATTCATGCTGCTAAAATGAACTGGAGCAAAGTTACAGAGGTTTTAATAAAGAAATAATTTAACATTTAGTCATTCTGCACAGGACAGACCATGATGGTGCCATTCATAAATGTTAAGAAATCTGAAGTTTTTATTGCAAAAGTTATTTATTTTTTCTTTCCTGCCTTAAAAGACTTGTTATTGAATGTTTTTCTTTTGAAAAAGGATCCAAACATTTATTTGTCACCATATATTTTATATAAAATAATGAGAGATTATGTTTGACTTCAGTTGGATCATATTCACTCAAAATCAAGTAAAAAAATCTTTCAACTCACTTTATTACATATTTAGGAATCTACATTGACTTAATTTAAAAAAAGTCAAAAAATGTTTACAGATTTGCAACAACTACATTTTGTACAGTTTTACTTTCTGATTCACCTGCTTGACGTTTGAACTGTTTGGTGAATTTACCAATAGTTTCTATAAACTTTTAGCCAAGATTCTTAGCTTTATTTTTATACCAAACATGTCCAGATTCAACTGACAGATCTGAAGTTAAAATAAATAGAAAAAGCTGRTCTGCATGAGGCTGATTTACAACTGATCCCTCTGAGGTTTGTTTAAAGCTGAAGAGTTGAAGAGTCYAACCTGTGTGTTAGCAAAATATTCCATGAGCCACTGGATGTTTTTTAATAAGAAATAATCATTAAATTAAGTTAAACTGTTTCAGCTGATTGACTTTAACAAACACAAAAACAGCTAAAGTTTAGTTATTTTTACAGACATTGATCTAAAGGTCGAGGTGGTAGTAGCTGAGAGTCGTTCACAACACTTCCTGTTTACAGAGAAGTGACGGACACATTCTTTTCAGGAATGTTGGACCTTCATAATTTAGTTATTTAGAAGTTTTCAGACATTTTCATAATTCTATAAAGTGAACAAGAAACAAATACTAGAAAGAAAATGTCTATTTGTTTATAACGAGATAAAACTGTTGATATAATTTTAAATTCGAAGACACCACATAATCTAAATGAAACATTTCTCAAGAAGCGCTTAGTTATCAGATCTTTAAATCTTATGTCGACGTTCTGAGAGTCTATTTCATTCACTGATCATCCCACATTTTTAATCAACACGAAAATCTGCACTGAAAGGTTTAAATCCCAMCTGTAATCTCTCCAAATCTGTGGTTATTATTCTGAAATGATCTGTAACCATGTGGGCGTTTGATCCTGTGTGGAAAAAACATCTTTAATTTAGCAGCAAGTCAAGTTATTTAAAGTACAATCTGCATTAAAACCAGCTTCATGTTTCACCACCTCAGAGAACAAATTAAACCCGATGCTGTAAAAAACTGAGTCATGGGTTGACTTTTATTTTGACACTTCCTGTCTGCTCCTCCCTCCCTCCCTCCAGGTGGCGCCCTGTCTCAGCTGTCCGACAGCGGACAGACCCTCAGCGAGGACAGCGGCGTGGACATAGCTGAGTCAGGACGCCTCAGCAAAGACAGCAGCCCCCATTCCACATGCCTCCCCCGGGACCCCTGGGGGGGAGGAGGAGGAGGAGGAGGAGGGGACACCCCCTCCAAACCGGTGAGAGGTCAGGTCTTTGAAACTGAGGCCTCCTGGGTCATTTTGACCCAAGGGCAGCAGGAGGGTTACAAGTTAAATCATCTGGTTTTTGGGGAAAAGTTTGGAAACTGAAGACGTGTTGATTGATAGAAAGTTTTATTTATTTATTTATTTATTTATTTATTTATTTATTTAGACAAATCTAAAAAACTTTAAAGTGATCTCTGACTACTTTGACATGATGGACTTGATATTTCTTTATTTTAATAAGTTGTTTGTGATGTTAAAAAAACATCTAATTACTTAAAATATTGTACGTTTATTACATTTTCACTGAAGCACGTCACCGTTTTTAATGACGCAATGCATTCTGGGGATGATGACGATGATGATGGGCACCACTTGAGACTAAAACATAATCAAGGAAAAGGCAGTCAAACATGATGTTTACCCAGTTAGCTCTGAAGCTAACACCATATACAGTATATTACCTCAGAAATTAATGTCATATATCACAATATGTGTAATATCTTGGTTGCTAACTTTATATTTATTATCTCTGGAACTAGCAATATTAGTTTGGGAGCTAATGTTATAAATATTAGCTGTGGAGTTAATGCCATGTATTGCAATTAGCTCTGAACTAAWGCCATATAGCCTGATGTTAGCCGAGGAGCTAACATCACATATCACAATGTATATAATAGCTCTAGAGCTAACGTTATTTATTAGCTCTAGAGCTAACAATATGTATAATGTATATTAACTCTGGAGTTAACACTGTATCTATTAGCTTGGGAGCTAATGTCATCTATCGCTATATACGTACAGTGGGGAAAATAAGTATTTAGTCAGTCACCAATTGTGCAAGTTCTCCCACTTAAAAAGATGAGAGGCCTGTAATTGACATCATAGGTAGACCTCAACTATGAGAGACAAAATGTGAAAAAAAATTTGAGAAAATCATTTTGTCTGACTTTTAACGAATTTTTTTGC